AAAAAGGATCACTGATAGACTGTCAGTATTCACTGGAGAACTGCTTGCAATTCTGTTGGCGGTTCAGTGGGTGGAAGATATGAGGCCATTAAAAGCTATTGTTTGTTCAGACTCAAGAGCATCATTGCTTAGTTTACAGGGTAGTCACTCAGATGCGAGAGCAGATATTCTAGCAGAAATTCAGCAAACACTGTTCACGATAAACATGATGGGTCTTACAGTTGTGTTTCTATGGATTCCAGCCCATTGTGGAATCATGGGGAATGAAATGGCAGACAGAGCGTTTTTTTTTTTCTTTTTTTTCTTTTGGGGGGGGGCTCATTCCACTCCACACTCCATACTAGTGGTGGCGGTAATGCACCAATCAGTTGTTTGCCAACCGCCAATAACATTTAAGAAGAAGAAGACGGAGAGGAGGGACTCGAGTACGGTGGCGTTTAGAGATATAACTCAAAGTTAAAGGGCAAGCTTCTGGCCATGAGAATTTTAATAGGTATGTACATTTTTTAAAAAGTTACACGTTTTTTAAAGTTGCTCGGAAAGGTCAGAGTGACATTACGCTTTCAGATAGCTTACAGCTAATGTTTACGGTGCAGCCAATAATGAAGTGCCTTATATCCATTAGTGAGTTTGTACTTGTGCATTATGTTGGGCTGTAGCACTATTGCGAACAGAGCCTGGGAGCTTTGAGAAAGCGTGCTAAAACTGTGTGCTTATGGTGTGTTTATTAGTTGAGTTTGCTCAGGTAATGCACAAAGCAATGTTTTGTAAGAATGTACAATACGCATGCGCACCACGCATGCCTGACTTACCTAATTTTGAGGGTTTTTTTTTTTTTTTTTTTTTTTTTATAATTTCGAAGCGTTTCTATGTATTTATTTAGTTGCTTGGTTAGTTAGTTATTTTCACCCTTTATTTACATCTGTAAAAATCGGCTAAATAATAGAAATATTTCTCTTTAAGTTAAACTGCAAAAACGAGAATAAAGTTGACCCAACGTCATGAGCTAAAAGGGTTTTTTGAAAGTTGCGACTCTCCTTTGTTACAGCAGTTAAAAATGAGTGTAATTTTAAATTGAACGTAAAACGTTAAAAAATAATAAAATAAAGCACGATATGATAAAACAAATTAGATTTTAAAGATTAATTAAGAAAAAGAAATACCAAAAAAATTACATGAGTGTAATTTTAAAAGAAGAAGCACTCAGAGAATGCAAACCTCCAACAAAGCTGCTCACTATGTGGAATATTAATTTTCTTTTAAGAAAATAGTATAGTATTTTATATATATTCATGCAATTTTCTTCTTTTAAAATGTACTTTAAGGAGTTTGTAGTGCAGGAAAGTGAATACATTTTGGGGTCAATTAGAAAGAAAGGTAGATGTGAAATGTAAAAATGAAGTCATAGGTAAAATGTGATATGATATTTGGATACAAATTATGTGTGACATTTACAATCCCCATTTACCTGTATCATTTCCTAAATGTCCCCAATACAAACAAAGACAGTAGCATTTTAAGCTGTTTTAAAGATACATTTTATCAAAGTTTGACCTTATTTAACCTTGAAGAAATCGTCAGCGCTAACTTGATATTCAAAATGCTCATATATTATTCCCTATGTAGCTGCATGTTGTCAATACAAACAGCAGTTAGAAACCTAGTTTCAAAAAATCCCATTTAGCATTGCATTAGTGTCACCTGACGTAGAGGACAGAGGTCAGCTGTGACATGCTATTTTAAATCTTTATACAGTACTTTCTTTACACACTTGTAAGAATCACAGTTTCTAAGTTGGAGGAAGTGTGCGGCTTTTGTTTTTCAGTTTGTTCCTTTTGATGATTTCTCTGTCTGTTGTGTTTCTTGTAGGAGGGGGATCTGGCTTCGTTGGCCGTGAGCTTACCCGCCTACTTAGGGACAAAGGTCATGAGGTGACACTGATATCCCGCCAGCCTGGTCCAGGGAAGATAACATGGGTATGACCTAAAGTTAATACAAAGTAAAAAGCTCATTTTAGGACCTGTTGATTCATCACTGTTAACAAAACATCATATTGGAGCTGATGCCTGATGGTTTGAAGGACTGAGATTAGAGAGGGAGAAGAAATTTATTTAATAATTGGTTCCTCCGGGAAATTCAGTATGTACAAACTGTACAGACAGAGATGTACAAACTGATAAATGTGGAAGGGGGCTAGTTTACAGATCCAGTGACATTTCTAAACATCTTTATGTTTCTTCCTCTCTGCTCCTGCAGGGTGAGCTGGAGTCTCAGGGTCTCCCACCGTGTGAGGGTGCCGTCAACTTGGCTGGAGAGAATCTCATAAACCCACTGCGATGGTGAGAAATAAATAATCAAAGAGTCCATCCTAATATTTGCAGCATTTTAATGCATTTACAGAGATTGCCACTGTTTTTTCCCCTTGGGTTCTGTTTTGAAGGTGGAATGAAAGCTACAAAAAAGACTTGTTCTCCAGTCGCGTTGACACAACTAAAGCTCTTTCTCAAGCCATTGCTGCTTCCTCCAGTCCTCCTCACTCTTGGGTGCTGGTGTCAGGTGTAGGTAAGCATTTAATAAGTGAGATTCTACTCAGCACTGAGATCAGATGAACTCATTGATAATATAGATAGTAATTCTATTATTGCTTTTTCATTGTTTGTTTTCATGACACAGCTTGTTATAAACCCAGTCTAACAGCTCAATACACAGAAGACAGTGAATGGACTCCGTTTGACCTTCTCTCAAGACTTGTCAAAGAGTGGGAAGCAGCAGCACTACTTCCTGAAAATGTGGCAAAAACCACCAAACAAGTCATCATCCGGCCTGGTTTGTATACGGCACATGCTTATGTTTATTGTCCATCCTGAATCTGTCTAAATCAGGGGTGGGTAACTCTAGGCCTCGAGGGCCGGTGTCCCTGCAGGTTTTAGATGTGTCCTCGAACCAACACAGCTGATTTAAATGGCTAAATTAGCTCCTCAACATTTCTGCACAATTGTAACCGACAGAATTTTGACAAATTAATTAGAGAAAGAAGGAAACTGAGAAAAAAAGCCCGTGCTTTAACAATGGCCGCCATGCTTTCTCGTTTGTCTTCTCTAGTGCTGATAATTGGCGTCCGTCTGTGTCAGTGATGTAAAAGACGGATTAAATGCGACATGACCATTCAAACAGCAGTTGCTTTCTAAAACATCAGATATGTATCGGATTCAGTACCACATACGAAAGTGACCTAGGTCGGATTTGAAAATATCGGGTTTGTGCCGTTCAAACTGTCATACCATGATCGGATATGAGTCGGATAGGGTCAAAAAAGTCTGATTTGATGCGCTTTCGCCTGCGGTGTGAACATAGCCTAAGTGTTCTGCTCATAGTTATTTTGGAATCACCAAAAATACAATTTTTTATGCCTGTCAAAATATGTTATCCTTGGCATTTTTCAGAGATTGACTAAATTGACTTAAAGAAATGTGGAAAAAATGTTGTTTTTATGACTGGCTGCTAATAACCATATAACCAAGGATACATTTTACAAACAGTGGTTCATTTCTTGAATTGGGTGCCTTTTTCATGCTTGAGTGATTCACAGGTCAGTGTTAACTGGTTTAACAAACTAAAGAAAGAAATTGGGGCAAAAACCTTTCCTTTGAAGATGATCAGCTCCAAGAACTAGAATAAAAAGTGTGAAAAGGCTACCAGCATCCAAAGGAAAACTTTAAAAGACCATCAGTCTGTTAAACTTTTGCATTTTGTACATGCATACACAACATGTGAAGATTTAAAGTATCTTATCTCTGTATTACTTTTTATCTTTTTCAGTTTTTCTAGCATGAATTAAAATTTTATCTCGTGGGCCATTTCACAGCAGATAATCTGACTAGATTGACTGAATGGACAACATAAGCTAGAACTAATGGTTTCTCAGTTATAAAGAGTGTCCCAGTAAATCATCATTAAACAAGTTAAACGGCTGCAGTGAAAAACATGTGCTTTCTTCTTTTCCATGCATTCCCCAGGGGCAGTGCTGGGTCGTGATGGTGGGGCCATGAAGCAGATGCTGCTGCCGTTCTGGCTCGGCCTCGGGGGTACCCTGGGATCTGGAAGACAACCATTTCCCTGGATCCACGTTTCAGACCTGGCAGGAATCATTGTCCGCGCACTGGAGCCCCCTGCTGACACTCCACCCTCCTCATCACCACAAGTGTTCAACGGAGTCGCGCCGGCTCTCAACACCAACTATGAATTCACTAAAGAATTGGGTCGGGTCTTGAGGCGGCCCACCATCCTTCCTGTACCTGGCTTTGTCATGAACGCCCTGCTGGGTTCGGAGAGGGCCGTGATCCTTACTCAAGGCCAGAAAGTCATACCTAAGAGGACTTTGGAGTCTGGATTTCAGTACAACTACCCTGACTTGACCTCAGCTTTGAAGGAGATTGTTAATTAACAAGAGAGTACGGCTGTTCATTTTTACTGTAATCAAGAATAAACAAATATGAGCCTAAACGAGTCATTGAAAATGAATCCCAGGATCATGACTCCGTAAAAGACTGTTGTAAATTACTTATTCATCAGATCTGTGTACTGATGAACTGGTGTTTCTCATATTGCTAAAGAGCAGTTATGGGATCATGTTTGAAAAACTGTGTTTTAAATAAAACGTTATGCTTTGCTTTAAAGTGTTTCTCCGCATTTGGGACAATAACAAGCGGCTCTAAAGCCTGGTGTGATGGCATCTTTGCTTACATTTAGAAAGCACTGGGACGTGATTGTTGATACTGAAGTGTTTCTGTAAAATAAATCTGACAGAGTTGAGTCTTGATGACAGATGTGTCTAAACCTTCTCCTTTAGCAGCTTTTGCTCCTTTCGTTCAAACTCATGAACAGCTACAGAAGATAATCTTGGATGGTTGTAC